GTGAGGAAGCGACGTGGCAAAGTTGGGACGAGATGCGTGAGATGTTCCCCGATTTCTTCCTTGAGGACAAGGAAGCACTTGAAGGGGACGGGAATGATGCGGACACGGCGAGAAGGCTCAAGAACGCAGCGAGTCGCGTGTGGCATGCGCGAAGGACCCTAAGTCATCGTGCCAGAGAGGCGCGATACGCAGATGGGCAAGCGCGCGCGGAAGATGACGCGCTCGATATTCTCGGAGCCGAGCGCGGGATTGAACGCGCAAGTGACAGGATGCACGCGCGAACTTGCCTAGGCGCGCGAGGATTAGGCGAGCTGCTAGACGCACGCACGGGAATGGAAGATAAAGCCCTAGTCCTTGGGCGATTAGGAGACGCGGGGCAGGGCGGCTTAAGACGCAAGCAAGATATATTCTAGATAGCTTGGTTAATATTTTATTTCCTTGTTTTGTAGTTTGTTTAGGACACTTAATATTTAATTGTTTTATTAGAGTTATAGTTATATTAGGATTAGATCTAGTTGATGCCTATATAAAGGCCCTTCCTCTTTTTAATTTAATCATTCAGAAATCAATACAAAAATCCAAACTTTGTTCAAACTCTTTGCTCTAGTTTTCTTCTTGATTTCTATTGTAATTATAATCGTTAGAAAGGTTGCGAGTGTGCGACTTCCTAACACCTATCGAGCGATTTAAGGCGCGGGAGCGGCTTGTCGACAGTCGAGACACACGGTCTTCATCAGGGGGCTGGCACGCACACGCGAAGGGAAAGACGGTGGACGCTGGGCGCGCACGACAACGCGTGCATGTGGCACAAGCGGCGCGAAGCCTAGGACGCCGAGGACTATGCGAGCGTGCATGAGGCGGCCGAGAACCCTAGGCGTGCACATGACTTAAGCTTCTAGAAATTCTTGGAGTGCAAGTCAAGCAATTAGTAGTTATAGTAATAGTAGGATTTTATTACCATTTTGCTTTTCATTCTAGAATTAGGAGATCTAGTATAGTTAGGCTTAGATTTATTTTATGCATCTATAAATACCCATGTACCTCTTCATTATTGAATATGTTAAGAATTGATGAGTGAATAGAAAAGGGGAACACTGAGTTCTTTCGTGTGTTAAGCAAGGTCGTAGTGCGTGTTTACATACAAGTGTCGGAAAGAAGGCCATTAGTGCGTCTTGAAGTCACGGTGTCTAAGAGAAGGCCCTGAGTGCATCTGTTAGTCACAACTATCGTGTGTAGTCGAAGGCCCTAAGTGCGCGATTACTCACAACCGAATAGGCAACAATCGCGATCCACTCTCTCGTTCACTCATCATTAGTGCTTTCATTGAGAGGATTTCATTGAAGAGTGTCCGATCAAGGTTATTGTTTATCTATCTTTTTTCTTTTTTTTTTCGGTTTTTACCTTTTGTTGAGGGGCCGAATTTTTATTTAATTTTTCAAATCTTTGTTCGAATTTTTGTTCGAGTTTTTGGTTCTTTTTCTTCGTTTTTTGTTCGTGAGTTGTCGAGTAAAAAAAAAGTGTCATCTTGGTTGTTTGATTTTATTTAGAGTCAGAAAAAAAAGAGAGAGCTTTATGATGTCAAACCGTGAAAGAATCCAAGCATTGGAGGATAGTTTGAAAACAGTTGGAGAAAGCCAACATGTTATCAACGAGAACTTGGGAAGGATCGAGCTTATGGTCCATGATCTGGCAGGGCAGCTCGAACGCATGACACACCGACCACGGCGGAGTCGCGAGGCACGATCCACCACGGCGTCGAGCAGCGTGGGGACCGAGCATGAGGACGATCGGCGATCGCAGGCGTCGCACCACACACGCGTAACGCACGCATCGCGAGCGCACGACGAGCGGCGCTATTACCGCAAGGACCAAAGGCGCGACGAACGACGACACAGGGAACGTGCACGATGTCACGACCACAACAATCACTACCGCAACGAATGATGGGAAGAACGGGCGTATACGCGACCCAAGATCATCATGCCTACGTTCACGGGAGTAGATCTGGATGCATGGTTGAGCCGGGCAACACAGTATTTCGAGTTCAGCGATGTGCCAAGGTATGAGAGAGTTCAATTTGCTGCTTATCATCTCGATGGAGAAGCAAACGTGTGGTGGCAATGGATTTTGCACAAAAATCAGGGCGAGCACATGCGTTGGAGGGACTTTGAAAGGGAGCTCATTACAAGGTTT